GATATATGAAAAAAAGACATTTTAGCTATGATTGCCGGAAATTAAAATCAAAATATTGATTGAGATATTTCTAAAGCTTCGATAAACTTGTTTAAGACTGAAGAAAAATTAACAATAGAATCATATTTTATTTGAATGAAATCTTTCGATTTTGAAATTTTGAAAGCTATTTAGGTTTGTTCAATTAATGGGGATATTGAATTAATACAACAACACTACATTGGAAAATATCAAACAAATAAGTTGAAACACCAATGTCGTATATAGCGCTGATAAAGAAAAAGAGTAAATCAATACTCTTAAAATTTACTATATGCTCTAGGAAAAAATAATCAATAGAAAGTATAAGGTCGAGTTCCGTAGCCGNAAAAGATATTGAGCATTTTACCATAGATGCTTTTTCTACTTGTATATTAAGCAAGTAGATCTCTGGACTAATAATTTCTTCATATTTCCGTGCTAAATTGTGATACTAAAACGGTACATGACTTACTGTGATTCTCCAGAACCAATTTTGAAAGTCATGGGCAGATGAAATTTCAATAAAAAACGCATCCAGATGCGGCAGACGTTCTATTAAAACTGCGTGAAAACGCGTTTCAAGGAAAATCACACGCAACTGCGCTTCTTTAATTATTTTCTAACCGCATCTGCACGCGATTTACTTATAACCGCGTCTGACCGGACTTCTAGGTTTTATGTAACTGTACGAATGTATGCGTTTTCATATAAAATCGCATCTAGACGCGATTGGAAATAATTTTCAGTTGCATTTGCATGCGTTTTCAAATAAAATCACATCGAGTCGCGAGTTGAATCCATTTATTACCGCGTCTATATGCGTTTTCATATAAAATCCCATCTAGACGCGATTTGAAATTATTTTAACCGCATCCGTATGCGTTTCCATACAAAATCGCGTCTACACGCGTTTGGTACTCATTTTTAGCCGCGTTCACATGCGGTTTATAAGAAAATCGCGCTGCGACGTACGTATTTTGCGTTTCGTGTTTACATGGGACGTATTCTATTGAGTTAAGATATGCTTAAAAATACCGTTTCTAAATCAAGTATAAGCACAATATCTGCAAAAAAGAACGTCTCTCTACAATTTTTTTGGAAAAAAGTATCGCTCTACCTAGCGAGCATAACGATTTTTCTTTTCGTATAGTCTGAAAATCGCTACCTCTACAACAGCAGAATATGGCGTAGTATACGTGTCACTCTACACAAAAATACATAAGTGTCTGCCAAACTATATGAACGTTAGACAGTGAATGAATAATGTATAAAACTTAAACCAATAACATATTACAATAGAACGGTGAACAAACTTTGATATTTGTATTTATTCCTTCTTAATTTCTTACAGTCAAATTATTCTCTTTTATGGTGCATGCTAAAAAAATGAGGTTTCTTTTTGCAATATATCTTTCATGAGTTACCTATAATATGACATAAAGGACTGAAGTTGTTGTATGAAAATGAGACACTTACGAGCTACTACTCTGTAAAAAAAAATTGTCCAAATCGGCTGAAGAGAAAAAAGGTTATTCAAAAAAATACAGGTAAAATTCAATCGTACCAAAAAGTTACAATTCACTCATATACAGTATATCTCTGTTATACAAAAAATAAGAAACGAAATGTTCAAAAATAATACACTAATGGTAAAGATAGATTCATATAAGTAAAATGCTATCGCATGACTGAATTTCAATGATTATAATATCAATGAAAAAGAGAATTTCATATACTTGAGGAAACAACAAGTTATTATTTATAATTATTAGAAAATTAACTGGTTTTTGAGATTGAATATGTATATTGTTGATCAGTTTTTTTCTGCGTTGATATTACCGAAACTAGTAAAAAAAATAAAAAATGACAAATGATTTGATCCCTGTGAATACCTGAGGGTGTGAGTGTGGGTGTGGGTGGAAGAAGATATACACCCACACACCGTTATTACAAAGACAATTCTTGGTTTAGCACAAACAATGATAGTGAAGTCATTAGCAATTATTCACATGGCTATGCTTTAGAGGTGAAATTCATTCTATCTTTTCTATCTAGACTGGTTTGCGGTATTTATCAACAAAAAATTAATTATCAATCTGCCTCGTAGTAGTAAAGTGCGCATCAAATATAATTCTTTCTTGTATGATTCAAGTTATCTTTCGTTCCGTTGAAGGAATGCTTAGATTTTGGTTTATTCAGTTCTACGACATGCAACATATTTGATTCAAAATCGACGTGAGGAAGTAGCTATAACATACTAATATGTTAAGCAAATGTTAGATAGTTGATTATAGTTGTCTACAATGTGAATAGTGGACGTTCAGATGGTGGAGAAGAAAATACGCATTAAAAGACTTAAATATACAACATACTATTTACTTTCAGTTTGGCATTATAGATGATACACGACTTTGATTCTTATTCCGTATCTTTCCAAACAGTTATTTTGAGAATTTATTCTAGTGAAACGTCAGTTATTCAAACATTACAATCTTATCATCCAATAATTCATGTACAGAAACATACGAAATTTTTTATTGGATCATTTAGTTTAATAAATCCATTGACTATCTTAATCCACGACCTGAATATATCCGTGTCATTATTATTGAATGGTCAACAAAATCTTCAATTCCAGTAGCACACATTGTTTCAGGAGATATTCAATGTAGTTTACGTTTATTCGGTGCTCGACGTTGTCAAGGTTTACTATGTTTGTCAAGTAAAGGCTGATGCTGTTCTATTATTTTTTTAATATAAAACAAGATGGTTATGATCAACAAGTTGATCGTTTAATTTTATCATTTTCGAAAGAAATTTAAAATTCAGCTCGAGTGGATATTGCCGTTCAGAACACCTACACCCTCAAGTTGATTGATCTAAACTATCTGTACGATAGTATGTGATTTAGCATCAGAAAAGTTCAAATGACATTTTTTCACCTGGATACATGATTTCTTTTTCTGACTATTATAAAAAGTCATGTTATGAGAAAATCACATTATCGTTCCTTCTTGTAAATGAAACATTGAGTCTGTTAGCTTCATACCATCAGTGCAGATCAACAGACGAGTTTTTTGTCACGCAAATGTTTCTCTATTCAACATAATCTCTCACAATTTATCTTGATTTATAAATGAAAATGTTGCTCTAGCACGTCGATGTTGCGATCAACCTGCACATTTTATTCATCGTAACATGTAGCGAGGGAAGTTGTCATAAGGTTCATTTTAGATATGTTGAATATTGTTCGCGTAGAGATGAATCGTGGAACTTGAATTTCGAGTCGAAGCTATTCTTGATAAACAGGTAAGAAGAAAAAATATTTAATTGCTTCTAAAATAGAAAGTTTATTTCGATGTTGATCATACCATGGTAGATAAAAGTAATGTACTTACAGTGTCTAGATTTAGTAAAATAATGTGAAGATTTACCGAAAAATAAAACCTAATGAAAAATAACTAAAACGAA